TGTTTTTTTTGTTTTGTTTTTTTTTAAACAAAAAGGCAGATTTTTTTAGCTGAGAAATTAAGGGATAAAATATTTCTAGAAAAAGGTGTAGCTTTAAGAATATTATTTCACACAGTCTCAATCAACATTTCCTTTGAGGCAGTTATTGTGCAGTAAGACGGACATCTGTTGCCTCCTTTCATTCTCCTTAGTGACTCGGCTGGTCATGAGGGCTGTGTGCCGAGGCTCTTTCAGCACAGAGATACAGTTCTGGATGTTATCTTTTCTGCTGGCTGTGAACCAGAGAGACTGATGCTTTCAGTGGGACATGAGGTGGGGAAATCCAGTGTTAATCTGATGAGAGAACTTCAAACACTTCACTGTTTTTCCCTTAAATCAGATCGTTATTGGATTTAGTGAATCTTTTTTTAAACAAGGCCTCATGAAAGTGACAACAATTAACTATTATAACTATTTCTAATTGGTGTGTTGTACAGAGAAGGTAAAGGATTCAATTTGAGTTTAGAAACTGATTAATCAATCGATTGATGATAAATCAATTGATGGATGATTGACTGATGATAATAAATAATTATACAAGTGTATAATTGTACATTGTAGCTGTAATTGGCTAAAGTCATCTATATTATGAATATTATAGATAAATATACAGAAGGTATTGTAAATTACACACTAGGTTTAAAATAACTCTTTACTGTAGAAGATTCCAGTTTTCAGTTTGATCTGTTGAAAGTATTTTTCTCACTTTCAATTTTTTCATTAAAGTTATTCATTTCTAAAAGAATAATACAGCCACAGAACATGTAGAGCGATGCAACATAAAAGTATTACTTTTACTGAAAGAGAACAAAAAATTGTTTAATTTCAAAAATATTTAGATATTCTAATATTTATATTAGAATATTTACTTCCTGTTACGTTGCCAGCATCGACATGAAAGGATTTCGCACCAATAGAAATAATAGGATTAAATCACATGCATTGTTGATAGCTTTAAAAAATGGCTTCTTCTCAGGATTACATTTCTCAGATTCAAGCTGAACAAAAAAAAAGCAAAATCAGGGTAAACACTGGTGCCGATTTTAGGAAAGAAATGGGCTAAGAAGCCATCCGGATGTTGGTGCTTTCTTTCTGGACAGGAAAGGTAAATATTTGCCAGAATTGGCAAAGAGAAAAACTCTTAATTAAAGGTTCATTTGGCATTATAGTCATAGTTTCTTTTAGAGCTAACTATAGCTGAAACAATTAATCAGATTAATCGTGATGATCGATTATTGAAATAATCATCAACTAATTTAGTAATCAATTAATCCTGGCGTATAGAGACTCTAAAATATGCCTTTAGCTGACAGAGCAACCCAATTAGAGCGGATATTATATCAAAATTGTAAATAAAACTATATCAATATTTTGCATTTAAGATGAAGAAAAAATCAATATGCTTTATCCAGATCTCATCAAGTGGAAAACTTTTGTTTGACCTGGTTTGATTTTGTAAAAGATCTTCTTTATGGAACCTTTGGCATTCTGATTATTAATCGAAAAAATAATTGACAGATTATTCGATCAGCAAAAAAATAATTTGTTACAGCCCTAGAGCTAAACCAGCGTCCACTTTCTCCTGAGTTAAAATTTGAGGAAGTAAATTGTGTTGCTGCTTGTGCAGCCCCTTGACACGATAATGCCCTAAGCAAAGGTCCTCAAGACCTACTACTGCCAAGGTATGAAACTTTAAATTTAGTGTTTTACTATTCCCCTTACCATAAAGCATTCTAAGCTACCTAACATGTGAATGGCATGCTGAAATTAAACATCAGCAGGCTTAATGCCGTTTTCCACTAAGATGGAAAATTATCTACAGTTTTCAATCTATTAATTCATTTAAAATATCTTAACCTGATAGTAACAAATAAATTAAGATTTTTTTTTCCGAAAACGTTACATTCTTTTTGAACAATTTACTTTCATTTATTGGTGAATGAAATGATCTATAGAATTCCAAATATTTCTAAAAAGCCTGACCTTCATGACAACAGTCAGACTCAGTGACATGAGGCCTGGTGACAGTGGGTAAAAAAATATTGGCTTGGTTTATCATTCTGTAAGCAGCCAGTTGATTCACTGCTTTTTAAAAGTTTAAAAAAGTCATTTGTTATGAAAATCTTAGCATAAAGGGCAATAAATCAAGCAGCACTGTCACCACATAGACTGAAGCAAGCAGGTGCTGAATTGGGCGAAGCTTCGGACTTGCTAATCCTCACACCGTAAATATAGAAGCCAGCTGAGTTCAAGTCTAAACAGCAACCGAGTGACAGAAACTTAATGACACATTGCTCACATATTTCCTATAGGGCCGTGTTTCACACCAAGGGACAATATCTAAGGACACATCTGAACTCCATCATAATAATGCAGTCATGCATTGTGGATTCACTTGATATAACACTTTGTATGCTTTAAGCAGCATGTGGCCATTTCAAAACCCCATGTAGACCACAGATTCTGGTTCAGGCTGTAAGAAACAAATGTGTTCAACACAATGTTGGAGTGTAAACACAGACTTTCCAAATAAAGACTGTATCATTACGGCAGTCCTCTTGCCTGCCCACAATGTCCTTCAGCAGGCGGTGGCACTGAGATCAAAACGGGAAATATGATACACCGGCAATGCTTGCAGCAGCAAAAATAAACCAAATGTCTTAAAGACACACATGTTGTACACTAAAGGTGCACAGGAAGAACAAATGAGATCAAAAACCTTTCATAAAGCTGAGGATATCTATTAAACAGCTAATATTTTTCTATTTTGGATCCAAAAATCAGTCTTTAATATATAAAATATTAGAGTTTTATTCAATAACTTACTGGTAAGGAGTGATCATACCTTTTAAGCAACATAGTATAACAAAGACCAATAAAAACTGTCTAAAAATATCATTCTATAATGTCCTTTTATTGTTGTTTTTGTATCTTTCTTATGATATCTTTCAAAGAGTTTCAGCTTTTTTAATAGAGAAAGATCTCCTCAAGTGAAGATTGCATCAAGAACAGCACAACTTAACTCGGTTAATAGTTCTGATGAGTTCATGGTTTTGTCTTTCTCACCATATTTGTCCAAATTTAAAGCTCATTCTTACAAACTTTTTGGGCCTAGAATTTTAATACAATAATATTGATTTTAATACAAGTAAAATAGCAGGAAAACAAACCCTTATACAGTCATTGAGACCATTTGCTTTACAGCATTACTTTGCAAATACATTAAAAATGTCAACTTAAAGCTAAACTTGTTGTAAAACATTCTTACATGACGCTTTATATTGTTTTATGAGGTCCATAAAATGCCCATCTTTCACGTGACCAGACTAATAGACAAAGCCCTTGTGGGATATAAATAGAGAACAATGCAGACAATACCAGCCACCTGTCTTTTTCCATCTCAGTTCAAGCAAGGAACAAATCACAAAAGCGCTCTAAATGTTTGACTTTTCAATGTTTGCAAGAACTTTTATGTGTTGATTCAGATCTTTTTTGTGGAATCAAACATCACTTACGGTTCGCAGGAATTGGATCTCCTCTTCTCCATCAGCGCCTTCTGCCATCCTCCCAAGGTGTTAAGAGACGAACCTCGAGACAAATAGATTACCTACAAGGTTTCGCCACTTTCAAGTGCTGTTGTGTTCTCCAAACATAAGGCAGGTTCCTGAAGGACAAAAATAAACGTGATCACCCGCCAATGCTTCGCCCAGGCTGACTCATGAGGGCTCATGGATTGACTGGTCATTATTCACAGCTGTTCAGAAACAGCATCATAAGAGGTGGAGCAAGCTGACAAATGCACATGATTTATTTAAATGTGCAAGAGGACATAAACTATATATATATCAATGTTTTTAAACTGTTGTAATGGTACTCTAAAATGTTCTGTAATGTAAACAGTGGCATCTTATTAAAAGGAAAATGTCATAATATTCCATGATTAATTAATTGATAAATATTTCAGTTCAGTATGCAGTGTTGTTATACTTGAAGATAGTAAATATTTTTACTACATGATAACCACTTTTCTTATTGTTCTATCTGTTTTAAAATTTAAATTCTGATGGAAATAACCTAATTTGTGAAATAAATGTTGCACACGTTTCTATGCTTGTAATTGACACTTAATAAAATTTAAAGCCTCCCATAATGCATAAATACTTTATCAAGTAAAAGTAATTTAGCCTGTTCGTGTTTTATTGTAATATTACAACCACATTGATTGTTTTATTGAAATCATATGCAATATAAGTATATAATAGTCTATAGTTTTCATATTTAAGGAAAACCGTGCATGGGTAAACTAAATGCTTAAAAAAGTGGTAGAACATGTATTCATCTCACTTTATCCTTATACTTAATAATAATTAAGTAATAATAATAAAATATTCACCTCAGACCTGCAAAGATATCAATGCACCTATTAGTCAAGTATGGTAAGAACAGCAGCAACCATAACAGCAGGTGAGGCCCCAGGGAACTGTGCAATATTCACAGTTTAGTTGCAGTGTTGAAATGGCAAATATTAGTCAGGGAGTCCACAAATCTGCCCAATTTACTACAGAAAAAAAGCTGTTTTTTAAGAGCTCATGTTTAAGTTAGTTGCATGCCTTAAAGATAAAGCAATAGCAGATCTACAAACAATAAGTCAAGATTTCTTGAGGGTTAGAAAATAATAAAATACATTTATCAAAATTCCTTGCACTTACCAACCTGAAAAAAAAAAAACATTTTACAGCGATAATTAATGGTCCTATTACATTTTATGTAGCATTCAGGGCCTGTACTTACGGTGCTTTGCCTCGTGGAGGCAGCAGCAGGCAGCTCAAGCATCTATAATCAGTAGAAGAAGAAGGCGCACCAGGGTTAATTATGGAAAAAAGGAGAGATTGGAGTATTAAAGAAATTTTAGGGACAGACGGAGACAGGGAATAAAACTTGGTTATTAATAAAGCATTATTTTTATTTTTACATAACACCAAAATAAAAAATAGAATATAGTAGGTGGAACTATAGAGCTATACAAACATGTACAGTAGGTGGCGGTATTCACCCATTTGCAATCCGCCGATCTAACAAAGAAGAAGAAAAAGGTGCAACAGGGAAACAGTTCCCTTCTTTTTATAAAACAAGCGTTATAAGGTAAGAGCTTTACTTGCATTTTACGCGTTTCTGTTGCATCGTTGTTATTCAAAAAGTACATTTATTACAATTCTCTATATCTTGACGGTTGAGGATGAAACGTGAGAGTTGAGAGCTGACGTTAGCTTATATCTGCTACTAGATCCTAACTACCAAATATCCTGGAGATATTGCAGGTTTTTATTGGTGTTTTTTTTTTTTTTAAACCTTCGCTAAGAAGTGATGCGTTTTTCTTCATACTGTTCTGACACCGAAACGTTTATATATATATATATATATATATATATATATATATATATATATATATATATATATATTATTTTTTATTTTATTTTTTTTACCGACCAACAGTCTTTTTTAAATGGAGGAAGAAATACTTGGGATCTTCATAATGTTTTGTTTAAATCTTGTTGCAGAGAGGAATGGATCCGCTGGAGCACATGCTGACAGACCCTCTGGATCCAAAAGAGGAAGACGGAGGACAAATCACTGAAGAATGCATGCTTGGGAACTGCAAAGTGGACCTCCCAGAGGATCTGCTGGAAGATGTAAGCTCTTTCTCTCTCCTATCTGCTGATCTCTGTCTTTAAACTAGAACACGTTGGGAGGTATTTTTTTGTTGTTTGTTTTTGCTAACATGTAAGGTTCTTTTCCCCCTTTTCCACAGCCTGACATATTCTTCTCTGTGCTGAGTGAAGGGACCTGGAATGATGTACTGACAGATTCTCAGAGGCAACATCTTCGACAGTTTCTGCCACAGTTTCCTAACGATAATACCGAGGAGCAGGAGAGCACCATCAGAGACTTGTTCAACAACACAAACTTTCATTTTGGAAACCCACTGCATCTTGCTCAGAGGCTATTCAGAGGTTCGTTCCTTTAGCTTTTCTCATTGCATTTAAAGGTATAGTGGAGGATGCTCTTTTTCTGGGTGGTTCATCAAAATAAGTGGTCCTCCTCATTGTCAATCATTCTGGTGATATGTTTAGGTAAGGCCGTCCTACGTGCTTGTCCCCATTTTCAGTTACCAGTGATAAGACTGACATAGTGGAAAAATAACAAATCTTCTTTTGGAAACTAAGCTTGTATGAGCGATGCAACTTTTAAACAGAGCGTGCACAAGGAGAATTGGGCTTGTGCATGCTCTCACACATGTTTAATAGGCTTACCCTCTCGGTAGCAGGTAAAGGGTGGTGCATGTGCTTTTTTTAAGTGGAGAGGGAGGGTCTTTTCAAAAATTCCAGAAAATCCTCCACTAGACCTTAAGTGCTCCACGTTGGTCCCCAAACTTCTTCAGTATTTTTTATTATTTCTTTATGCTGCACAAGGTACTAGTCGCCCCACAATGTAAAAAAGCTGTCATTCAGTTTAAAATGGAAAAAATACATAAGGTCTATTAAATGTTAGTGATCATATATATATATTTAAGCAATCATTTATTTAATGTGAAATGGATTGTTTAAATTTTCATGTGCTTGTATTATTTTTGCAACTTATTATTTCAAAAGTTAAGTGTTGCAGCAACATAATTGGCTGGTTAACCTGTCAGTGTAACTTCAGATCTATTCCAATGACTAGAGCAGTGATATACCTAAATATAAAGCCTGACTTAGATAAGGGGAGGCAGACATAAGAAAACCTTTTTTTTTTTTTATTAAAAATAAATTTCAGTGACAATTCAAATCATTAATATGATATTTGCTTTTTCAGCTGTATTTTTATTTTCCTTTTGGTGATAAATAGAATTACAAACATCCCGTGACTAGCCCCCATGACTTGCCGTGTTTTGATGACTAAGCGAAGATCAAAGGTTTTTCCTTCAAAAAGGGAAGAGCAGTTATTATAAAAATGGTGTGATTGTTTTTTTTTTTATTCTGTATTGCTCTCTTTGATTGAAATCTGCAATTATTTACTGACTGACTTTATACAACATGTCAATAAGACAGTTTGGTTGAATGACTAGATCATTCAGTTTGCTCTTTTTAGGATTGTTTCATACATACTACTGAAACCATTTCTCCTCCAACTGAAACATTAAACACTGGGCCTAAATTGGAATGTTTTAAGTAGGGATGCACGATATTGGGATTTTGGTCGATATGCCGATATTTTAAAACTCATGTAGCCGATAACCGATATCGATACTGATGTTAAAGCTGGACAAAAATAAGTAGTCATTGAAAATAGCAGTTTTGTTATCCATTTCTGACACTTTGAAAAATAATATACTCAAATATATTTTCATATGCTGATATCAAATAGATTTTTAAAAACGCGGTATCGATCTATTTTACTTTCAAAATCTCGTGAAATGTCATCGTTATGTTACAAACTCTCGTGATATTTTGCAAATTCTTGTGAGATTTTGTTAGTAAAATAGATCGATACCGCGTCAATATATCAACATATAAAAATATGGCAAAATTTCGTGAATTTTCGGGGGATTTCGTAGCATAAGGATGACATATAGCAATATTTCATTAGTAAAAGAGATTGATATGGTGTTTTTAAATGGCAATATATCAGCATATGAAGATATTGTGATATTTTAACGTATCAATATTTTTTCCCTCGTCTTTACAAGTTTTTAAGTCTGTAAAAAAGAAGTTTTTGAGGAAGAAGAATTAGTATTTTTTTTTTTTTTTTTTTTTTAGACTTTAGAAACTCAGAAGCTGATCAAATATCGGGTTAAATATCGGTGGGGTGGCCGATGTCCGATATTCAGTTTTAAGGCCGATACAGGCCGATACCGATAAGGGGCCGATTATATCGTGCATCCCTAGTTTTAAGTATTAATTATTCACTTTAATAATAGTGGGTATGCCTGTATGAATGGTGATGTGATTACTTTTCTTCTTCAAAGAAAAAATAAAACATCTTTTTTGATTTTGATCCTGATGGTTTTTTGTGTGTGTGTGTGTGTTTTTTTTTTAAGATGGTTACTTCAATCCAGAGGTGGTCAAGTACAGACAGTTGTGTGCCAAATCCCAAAGGAGGCGACAACTGCATTCCCTTCAGCAGTATTACCATAGACTCCTGAAGCAGATTCTCGTCTCCAGAAAGGTTTAGCTGTTTTTTTCCCCCTGCTTTTTTTATATATATATTTTTTGCATAACAATTATTTGCTTTTGTAAATTTTACTTTATTTTTTGTCTTCATTGGAAAAGGAGCTGCTCGACTTTGCAGTTCAGAATGGTCTCGACTTTCCTCCAAAAAGACGGCTGCCGAACAAAACTCAGGCGGAAATGCGTGACTTAAGAGTGAGAAGAAGACTGAACCGCATTCTGAAGGAGGTCAAAGCTGAGTGTGAAGACAGCAACGCCTCCTCTGATGAAGATGGTATGTCTTTTGCTTCTTATTATAAAAATACAGAAAATAAAATTTTCCCTCTACGTTATCTCTTTTAACTTGTTTTTTTTGTACTAAGTTTAATCATCTAAAACTCATCATCAATCATCATCATCAATCCATCCATACATTTCTTCATTTGTTTTCTTTAGTGATAGCATAGACTCGTTGTTGGATTGAAATGTTAGATTTGACTCGCAGGCTATTTGCAACAAAAACATTTTTTTGCATAAAATCTTAATAAACTTAAAGTGATTTCTTGTTTTTCATTTTATGCTTTTAGTCAGATATTAGAAACGTCCTGCGGCTGACAGTCCTAATTAAAAAAAGAGTTAAGGTTAGAGTTATTCATATTCATGTTACAAATCAACGATTGAAATATTTGTTTGTTTTGTTGGCTTTTCTCTTTGTCAGATATCTCACTGTGGAACGCAACCCCTCCGTCTCCCTCCTCTCCCACTGCTACTGTCTCGCTCCGAGTTCTTCCTAGCCTGTCGACTCCAGACATGAAGGTTACAGGTAAGTACATTTCTGCTCTATAACGGCAGTTTTCCTTTTAGGTGAAAAGGGAGTCTAAAAACCTGAACACACTATTTGCGTCCGATCCACAAAATCATTTCAGATGAGGTTTTGGTGTTTAGCCCTCATTGAAAGTGAATGGGATGATCACACCCGACACAATTCTCTGCAGGAGGCTGCGTAGGTCCGACTGAGCTAGACCCCAGATCTATTTTAGTAGGACTACGCAGCAATTCAGCGGCAAGCTCATGGATCTTACAAAATAAAACAGTGTATATAGCAGGCGGGGCAGCCTGTGGCATAAAAAATCAATGAAAAAAAAAAAAAAAAACAATACTTTACCCATGATTGGAGCTCAGTAGGACACAAAATGGATAAAGAGGTGATCCTCTTTCAGCCTCACTGAAAAACAAAACAGCAAGGGGTAGATGGTGCGAGTAAATGCAGCTTATCACTCTTGCCTCTTCATGAAAAAAAAAGAAAAGAAAAACTTTATCAAACTTCACAGATCTCTCTGAGATCACCTCTTGTTGCCTCAACCAGCAAATAAACTGTCTCGCAGCGTTTATTGCTGCACTTTCCTTTCCTTTAAAAATAGTTCTCATTATGTTTCTAATATACAGTAGGGCTAATGAAATCCTCTATCCGTTCTGGTTGAATTGATTCTGCACAGACTCATTAAGTGAGGCTTTGCTTTGTAGCTGCACTGGATGTTTTTTTTTTTTTTGTTTTATTGGTTTTTTATTAACTTTTCATAATCTGATCCCGCCCAGGTCTCCCTTGCAAAAGAGATTTTTAATCTCAATGGGTATTACCTGGTTAAATAAAGAATAAATAAAAAAATAAAAAAATCCTGTCAAATGTGGGACATTGTTCCAATTAGTGGGTATCAGGGACAGAAGTGGAAAAAAATCAGCACAAATCAGGATCTACTCTATGCATAGCAGGAGCCGTTCTATATGTGCTGCAGTCAGTGTGACATAGCAATGAAATAAAATCAGAGAATATAAAGCACAACAAAACTTTTTGATGCTTAAGATTTTTTTGTTTCTTTTTTTTCTTTCTTTTTTTTTTTTTATTAAACAGATAAAGCTGAATTAGGTGAACTGGATTTAAAAGTCATGCTGCATCACCATCGTGAGAAAAGGAAACGCCAACCAGTAAGTTGTGATCAGAGAACAAAAATTGAGCCTGTTTTAATCTTCTATTGTATATGCTATAACTTTTTTTTTTTTTCCTTTTAAGGATCATCCAGACTTGGTTACCTCTGATATCCACCTGGGGGATATACTTTCAAGAGCAAACATTGGCCGGAAGGGCCCTTTGCGTGAGTAAATATGCTTTAAGTCAACACTTCCTTCTGCAGGACTTTCTCTGAGGACGTCTTTCCTTTTAATCAAGCAGCACTTTTCGATCTGCCGCTGCCAAAGAAGAAAATGAGGGATGAAAGGAAGAAGAAGAAACTTAAGGCAATAAAAATCGAGTCAGAGGATCCTTGTGAAATTTTGACACCTTCAGACTCCTGCTCAGCCCCACCGGTGAACATCATCAACTCTCTGCCAGACACGCCCTCCACACCGCTTACCAACATCAAAGAGGAGTGAGTCAAGGACTTGACTCGGTTATAAGCTGTTGTTTTGGGATGTATTACTCAAATGTTGTGTCCTTTACTGTTGCAGAATTGTAGAGGAAGCCCAAAGCAGCCCTGTTGCACTGGAGGAAATAACCGCCAGTTTCTTCAGCTTGTTGGAAAACATCTTCAGATCAGAGGGTCCTGCCAGCACCTTGATGGTATGCATGTCAAAGTGTCACATAAGTGAAGTTGAAATGAGTTGTGACCAAATAACTAATATGATATGTTTGGTTAGTTGGAGGATAAGGTTCAGACGTGGCAGTCCTCTCCAGCCAGTTCGCTCAACGCATGGTTTTCCTCTGCCTCATGTTGGTCGGATCTGGTTCTTCAAGCTCTCCAGTTTCTTGCAGGAGAAACTAAAGGTAAATTCTAATTATTAGATGAGATTAAAATTAGAAGTTTTACACTGATTTGAAATTTATACAGGATCTTAATTCCTGACACTATTTTGGAAGCAGACAGCTCCTAGATGGAGGAACTATCTCTGCCAAGTATGTTTTTCTGCTCACATAATGGAGCAAAAACTCGCCAAAGAAAACCTCATTTTATCACATTTGCCATGTATTGCGACCGTTTTGAACTCGGGGCAGGTTTGATAACAACTATGACTATGCTGAAATTATCCAGGTTTCACCCTGTCCAGCTGCTGTTCAGAAAGCTTCAGACTCTCTATGCTTTTGTTTACATTTTCAGTAGCACTGAGGTTAGGGCAACTCTAACAACTCAATATTATGGGCTGCTTTTATTCCCAAAACCAGTTTTTTATTCATTTTAATGCAAAACTACTTTGTTGATCCCAAAGGGAAATGAAAGTCATTTTTCTGTGTTTTAAATCCTTGTCCTGTTAGCACTTTGGTAGCACTTTAAAATGTACTGCATCTCTTTCCTTTTCTCAACCCATTTATGCAATGCTAAAGTTCTTCTGAGAGCAAAACAAGCAACATGATTCTACCACCCCAATGCTTGGCTGTTGGTACAGCCCGTTATACGCATCATGCTGAGACATTCCCCTGATCATTTACCAAATAACTCAGTTTTGGGCTACGTTTACACTGCAGCCTGAAGTGACCCAAATCCGATTTTTGCAGTCTGTATCTGATCTTTTCATGACAGTCTGAACAACACAGATCCGATTTTTTTCCAATTCGACCCAGGCCACTTGGCTATGTGGTCCTGAATCCGATACGAATCTGATCTTTTCAAATGCGACCTGTTTCTGAACAGCCAGGACGCATTTATCCGACCTAAACGTCATTAATACTCATCTAAAGGTCTGTTACAGGTCTTGCTATGCAGAAGCGGGAAGAAAAACGACAACCACGGTGGACTGTAATGCGGAGAGCAGACTTTTTAATTTTTCAAAATATAGAGTTTTCAAGGTTGGGAAAAATCGCTAGATGAGCTCCAGCACTACCATTCATGTTTACTTCCGTAAACACAGAGCACGCTTGCTTGTGACATCATTGCGTCCTCTACTGTGCATGTGGGACACTGAAGCTGTAGGAATGCAGTTCACACAGGAGATCACATACAAGTCAGATGCATTTGAAAATGTGAACGGCAATGCAAAAAAAAAAAAAAATCGAAATTCACAAAAAAATAATCTGAATTGAGCATTAAGGCCTGCAGTTTGAACCTAGCCTTAGTCGATGTGACCATAAAACCTTGTTTTAAGAAGACACTAATCCCAGCTTTGTTCATTTCTACTACCGTAGTTCTAGTCGTTAGAGGTGTTGATTTTGGTGCTAAAGCCTTTTTCACATGAGAGTTGAATTTGTTTGCTTTTTGGTTGAAGCTGGGTTACAACGGGGTGTTCCACACACACAAATCTATGGAATACATTATAAACTTGGTTATTATTTTTGACAGGAAACCAGATTTCTATGAGAATGTTGATGTTGACTACAAAAAGAAAGTGTTTTATTTTGCAGCCTGATAAAGGACCACTATACAAATATGAAAGGCAGGTTGAACAATCTTTACTAACAATAAAAGTAAACATCGTGAATTCCGAACAACTGATATTCCAAATGACCTTTTTTATTACCCTATATATGTTGGATAGTGTTGCCTGCCATGTGTGGCGCCCTCCTCATGTTTAACGACTGAACTGCATCTTCGTATTGAGAGCTCCAAGTTAGAGCTGGAATAGTGAGCTTTGTGATCTTTCTATTGATTTTTAGTTGGTGAATTATGAGCTTTGCATTTAGTTAGTTTATTTTTCTTTCGTTAACCTTTCCTAGTATGCCTGGTACCGCCTACTTAGATTAAATAAGTTCATACTCACCGCTGGGGCTGCAACTAACATTTATTTTGCAAAAGGAATAATTTGTCGATTAATAATCTGATAGCCTAATATTCCTTAAAGAAGATTTTTTACTAAATTAAACAAGGTGAAACTAAAACATTTCCACTTAAATTTTAGATGCAAAATGTTTACACATTTTTATTTAATTTTTTTACAATTTTGGTATAATTGCTGCTCAAGGTGGGTCACTCTATCAGCTAAAGACCTGTTTTCTAGTCTCTATACTCCAATTAACGATTAATTGATTAAGAAATTAGTTAAAGATTATTTCAATAATTGATTACTTGGATTAATTGCTCAGCCCTACTTACCGCTCTACTTAACGCTGAAGCTACGTCACACAGACTCACTCATTTATACACTGATACACCTACACTGATATAGTAGGTAACTTTGGGGCCTTGCTCATGGGCACATTGATATCTAAGAGTGAAGGAGGTTGAAACTGAACCAACAACTCTCCTGCTCTTTCCATCCCTCCATGTGTCTAATATGGGTGCATGTAAACTGGGACTGAACTTGTGCTTTGTTGGTCAGATGGCATGATGGCGCTCCCTAGTGGCTTTTCACCATTTGTGGAGTTTGTTGAAGAATTCCAGCAGTGGAGGTGGATTGGTAAGAGGGTTCATTCAACGTCATACCTTCTTTACAGTTGTCGTTTTAAACTGGATTGGTTTAGTTTCAGCCGGTTGACACCAGTTGGTTTCTTTCAGGCCCCACTCAGGATACGGAGAAGGATCTCAGCGCACTCTGTCAACTCTGGCTGGACTCCAAAGATTTTGTCGTCAAGGTTGTACAAATATTCACTTTTGATAAAATTACTTCCTATGATTTTCAGATCGTCTCTCCATCTGATGCTCTTCTTTTGTTTTGTTTTTTTACAGACAGAAAATGAAGACATGTTGGAGATTACATCATCTACACCCAAACTGTGAGCCTTTTACAAACATGCTATTTATTTCTCATTGTTGCACCATTAAATTCACAGTTTGTTGCCTCCATTTTTGCAGTTCGACTGACTATGTGGTGCGTCCCAGCACTGGAGACGAGAAACAAGTGTTTCAAGTCCAGGTTTGTGTGTGCTGCTGCTGCAGTGTTCACTAGATTTCTTCATTTTTTTCCCAAATGAGCTGTCTAAGTTGTCTTATGTTTGTGCTTTAGGAGCAGCAGCGATATAACCAGCCCCACAAAGCCTTTACCTTCAGGATGCACGGCTTTGAGTCGGTGGTGGGTCCAGTTAAAGGCGTGTTTGACAAAGAAATGTCCTTGAATAAAGCCAGAGAGCACACACTGCTTCGTTCAGACCGGCCGCCATACGTCACCATCCTCTCTCTGGGTTGGAGCTGTTAAATTTTAGGATGAAGCAACACTAAGCTTGTGTGTTAAAAATTAAAACTTGATACAAATTCTGCTTCTATTAATCTATTTTTCTAGTTCGCGATGCAGCTGCCAGGTTACCCAATGGAGAGGGAACAAGGGCAGAGATCTGTGAACTTTTGAAAGACTCGCAATTTCTTGCTCCGGACGTCACAAGCGCACAAGTACTGAATAGTTTTCTTCTAAAGTTCTTATTGTTTTCCTTTTTATTTGAGTAATGTCAAGTTTTCCATGCATATCTGCTGTTTTTTACTCATTAATTGAATGCATCTTTAGGTGAACACGGTTGTCAGTGGGGCTTTGGATAGACTTCACTATGAGAAGGACCCCTGTGTGAAGTATGACATCGGCCGCAAGCTGTGGATTTACCTGCACCGCCACCGCAGCCAGGAAGAGTTTGGTAAGCAGCCATCTGCTTTAGCAGCGCACCAAAAAAAAAAAAAAAAAGAACATTTTAGGGGAATTTGCCCTTAAATTAGGACAGTAATAATGATGATCCTTTCTGAATATTTTATTCTCTAGTGGAAGGACTGGTTTTTTCTTCCTTTTCTAAGCCTTTTTTTAATTCTTTTTATTTGTATGTTGCTATTTTATGGTGTAATGCACATTTTATTGGTCTCTGTTTCTTTTCTCTGCCTTTTCAGAGAGGATCCATCAGGCTCAAGCTGCAGCTGCAAAGGCAAGAAAAGCTCAGCAGCAAAAACCCAAACCAGCGCCTAAACCGGTGAGTCCGCTGCTTCAAAATGACCAAATGAATACTTATTCTCTATGGATGCTTTACTGTCAATTCTATTTTTAGATTCTTTGTGATTCACAATACAAGAGGGTGCAACACACTTTTAGTTAAAAATACGACTCCCCATCCCCCCTATACAGGTCCTCTTTGAACTTCATGCATCTTTCTATCAACTCTAACCAGCTGACACTATGATGCTGCCACTACCGTGTTTTACTGTAGAAATTGTTATTTTTAGACAGAATGTGCAGTGTCCGTTTTCTGTCTCACTTTGGGCCTGATCTGCAAAAAAGGTTTGTGTCTAATGTGCAAATCATTATGATCAATTTTTGTGTGTGTGTGTGTTTTGAGTATGCAGATCATATTCTATTAAAGGAATAGTACACCCAAAACATGATTAGCCTTCATTTTCTACTCACCCCCATGCTGAACAACACTCTGGAGTACTTTTTTGATATCTCAAATGCATCTGGAGATCTGGGAGGCTTCTTGCTGTCTGCTGACATTCAAATAATGGAGGTCTATGGTGACCAAGACAGAAAGGTCCATAAAAGTCCACAAAAAACGTGTCAATATTCCTCCATACTGCTCGTCCAATGTATTCCAAGTGTCCTGAGTGGGTAGCATCCAGAATTTACTCGAAACAAAGTCATTTAGAATGTTTTTAGAGCATAAACAGTAGTGTATAGGATTTCCTGAAAGCGCGCACACGCGCGCTCACGACGCTACGGAAGCCGGCAGACCAAACCGGAAGAAAGTGCGCATTCAGCGTCTGCTCTTCCAATAATGCAAGCGTAGAAGAAGAAATGTGCTGTTTACCTGTGCAAAGAAAGAAACAACGAAAGAAAAATATCTGAGGACTTCAGTGTTGAGGAAGAGCATGAGTTCTTTGCCGAGCTGAATGCGCTGGTTTGGTCTGCCGGCTTCCGTAGCGTCGTGAGCGCGCGTGTGCGCGCTTTCAGGAAATCCTATACACTACTGTTTATGCTCTAAAAACATTCTAAATGACTTCGTTTCGAGTAAATTCCGGATGCTACCCACTCAGGACAATTGGAATACATTGGACGAGCAGTATGGAGGAATATTGACACGTTTTTTGTAGACTTTTATGGACCTTTCTGTCTTGGTCACCATAGACCTCCATTATTTGAATGTCAGCAGACAGCAAGAAGCCTCCCAGATCTCCAGATGCATTTGAGATATCAAAAAAGTACTCCAGAGTGTTGTTCAGCATGGGGATGAGTAGAAAATGAAGGCTAATCATGTTTTGGGTGTACTATTCCTTTAAAATTACTTTTGTTCAATTCAAATGAGTTTAGTTATATAGAAATGATTCGCAACACATCATTTTTAGGGCCCTTCTTTTAGATAACACATTTGTTTTTTCTGATTAATTGATAACGTTTGTTATCAATGTGAGTTGAAAATGAAGGCTAATCATGTTTTGGGTGTACTATTCCTTTAAGCAAACTGGAAAAATAATGGTGGAAGAATATGCAAATGTCACTACTAACCACTTTCAAAGAAATTTAGCAACTTTAAAGTGATTTTGGGCACATTTTTGTGTCCATTTTTAGCACATGTCAGGTTTGAGCACCTAATCAAAGGTTTCTGCTGTCATTGTGACTACAAAGGAGACATCGATACAGGAAATACAGTGAAGAGGATCTGTGCACATGTGAATCTATTGACTGTCAGAGATAATGTGAATGCAGTAATATCAATAGAAATTAAAAAGGTGCAAAGACCACTTCTCCAGGTTTGATCTTTGATATTTAATCCTTTAAAATAAGCATTTATTTTCATCGTTATTTTTTTTTATTTTTGCTTGCAAATTTTAAGTTAGCGGTTTTAACTACTTGTGTGTAAAAATGCCCTAGAGATGTTTATTCTGATCATTATTATAATTTTTTTTTCAGAACTGTTAAATAACGAAGTACAAATTCTTTGTTACTTACTGAAGTATATCTATATTTTACTGTGGTAACTTAGATAACTATTTACTTCTACTCTTTACATTTTTTTTTTTTTTTTTTACAATTCTACTGCCTACTTATTACATTTTGAAAATAGACTCAGTTTTGTTTCATTTTAGCTCATTTTCGTTATGAGGTGTTGGTATTTAAAAAAAAATAAAATTGAAAAAAACATCAAAATAATTTGTTTCATCCAGAAAATTTATTTATTTCTGGTTGGACTCAGTTTTGCACCAACTTATTGTTCGCTACGTACAAAATAAATAGTTTTTCAAGATGATGCAAAGTTAAATTTGACACTGCTGCCATCAGTTATAAAACTGAGAAAAGTATAAGGAAGTTATCATCCAAAATTGTAGAAAAATGTTCCTTTAGTTGGTTGGTGCAAACCAGCATCTGTCCTTAACATTTTTTCCTGCATTACTTTTACTTTTATACTCTAAAAACTTTAAACAAATTGAACTTTTACACTTTAACCTGAGTAAAAAGCTTAAGTTAAACAATAGGATTTATACTTCTACTTGAGTAATAAACATTGATACTTTTGACACCTGTTTTTTTTTCTTTTCTATATAATTCTTATCCATACTACTGCCATCTCCATGGCCGAGCTTCATCTTTCTTTGACGTTCACTTCCAACCTGCCAGAAGGACACTCAGTCTATTCATTTAAACACTGTAGAATCAGACTTGTTTGCCTGTCTTATCTGTTGCAGTTTCTTTTGTAGCGCACCAGCAACACACCCTCTGATTACTACGCTTTTTTTTCTTTTTTGGCCCATGCAGTTGACCGCTCCTTATGATTCTTAGAGGATCAGGCCCTTAGTCTTTCACCTCTGGACTAACACAGCCATGTTTGCTCTTTTCTGAGCAGAATGCCATATTTCACTCTTTTGATGTTTTCTTTAAATTACTTGGGCAGAGAATCCAAACAGGACTTCTTGTGGCTTTCTTTCACCAGTGAATCTCTTCTTGCCTCCCTTCCATTAAAGCAATAAAGTATATGATTATAGATTCTTCTACCTGAGTTTTAGATTTTGGTATTTATTAAATCAATTCCTATTTAAAGTTTGTACAGTAAAAAGTCAGTGTGAGAGACTTGGTTTGTTTAAAAAGTTTTTTTTTTTTTTGCTTTTAGTTAAAAAATTGACTTGTTTGTATTCAAATTGTAGAAGTCTGGAAGTAAAGACGGAGGAAGCAAAACACCTGGATCTCTGGACGCAGGACTGGACCTTGGTTGTAACTCCATGTCTCCCGTCCCTTCAACTCCAACCCCAAACACTCCTGGAACCCCTAAATCACCGCTTCCTCTCTCTGCTACCACACCAACAAAGGCTGGAGTCTCAGATACAATGAAGTCCAGCCCAGGGTCAGTTGGACTAAAGCCGTCTTTTGTCCAGATTTTTGTTAGATGTTTTTTTCAGTGTGGTATAAAATTGCATCTTCCTTCTTTCGCAGCGTTCTTCTTGTCTCTCCGCCATCGCTGCCTCAGCTGGGAACAATCCTGCCTACAAGTCAAGCTTGTCCACCTGCCTCACAGCCGGTAACCTCCCAGCAAGCGGCTCGGATAGTGAGTCACCTGGCAGCGAGTTCCCTCCCCCAGGTTCGGGTCGTTTCTGCTCAGCCTGGCCTGGGTCCCCCGGCAGTCACTCAGCAGGCCACACTCGTGCATCAGACCACTCACCAGATCCGGATGCCTGTGTCAGTGGCCGCCAAGAGCCTTTCACAGGTAGATTTAAACAGTGGGCCTCATGCAACAACATTTTCATATTCTTATCGTAGACTTCTTTTACATTTTCTCCTCTTATAAACACGACACATCAGATTCAACAAACGCTCTTAACTTCAGTAAATTCTCCTCGTAAACCAGATGTAGACCACCTGTGCGTGAGTGAATGTGCGTTCCAAAGAAGGGTAAATCTGCATAATGACCACCCAAATGGCGCCATATAAGGCTACGACTTCCCACGCTTGAGATTCACAAAAAGGCATCAACAACAAAGAAGGAAAACTTAATTGTTTCTGAGATCAAGGTTCAGCTGACTGAGAGCTAACCAGCAAAAGTAAAGGACCAGTAAAAGCCAAATAAATCACAACAGCTGTAAATGCTATGGTAGCAATATTACAGAAGTAAAAATAGAATAAAAAAATTATTTGATCCAAAAACAGTGAATGAAAACTATTAATGGTGCAACTTATGATGTAAATATGAGTCAACTACTGTACTTCTGACAGACCCAAACATAATAACAAAGCAAGGCGGCACCATGGATTGAAATTAATGAAAGTCTTACTGTAATAGGGGAGCTTTCCTGAACTTTCTATCCATTTTCTGTTCCAGATGTTATTTCAATAGTAGCTTGACTTTAATATTATTTCTTATGACAAAATACAACAAATGAAATCAGTTTCCTCGAGATACTGACATGCCAGATGCAGATGTGCTGACCAATTTTTCTTTAACCAGCAAATAAAAATTAAATTTTAAATTGGAGAGTTGCATAAGATATAATGATGCAGCCTAATAAAATGATAAATGGCTTCTAAGTAACAATTTAACCAATTTTGTAAGACTCCAACAGAGAGAAGGTTACTAATAGGAGAAAATTGGTGAATGTGGCATTTTTTTTCTAAATCACTCATACCAACGACTTAAAGGGGAATTTTGTTGTTTTTTTTTTTACATTGGGCCCTTAATTTTACGTTAATACATCATGTTCTACTCACCAATATGAGTTTTGTGTCATATGGAGCTGTTGTGAAGATATTCCATTAGGTTATATCCAAGTAATGTCTTCCTATGGACAACGACTTGAAGGCACAAACTAAACTGTTCATAATTTATCATTTATGGTACGCCAGCATTCATAACATGTAGGCGAATCACTGTCCCCCAGACATCCGCGGTTATATTATTTATATTTCTATCTTTTAAAAACAAAGCAAGCGCGTTTATGATGTCATCCACGCGCCGGACTGGAGTTTTGTTTTTTTTCAAAAAAACTTTATTTAACCAATGTACATTACACCAGGCTCTACCCCTTCCATTCATTCGGCGAGCTAATCTGAATCGTTCAATTCCATTTGGAGAGCGAGATCATCTGTGGTAGTAGCACTAGACATCTTCCAGGCATGTGAGTAAAACTAGCAGCAGTTCAGCAGACAGGAAGAATGAAGGGTAGCCGGCGCACGCGGATGACGTCATACACACATAGAAATATAGAAAATATAACCTCGGATGTCTGGGGGACAGTGATTCGTCTACATGTTATGAATGCTGGTGTACCATAAATGATAAATTATGGACAGTTTAGTTTGTTCCTTCAAGTCGTTTGCTCATAGGAAGACGTTACTTGGATATAACCTAACACAATATCTTCAGAACAGCTCCATATGACACAAAACTCATATGGGTGAGTAGAACATGATGTAATAATGTAAAATCAAGGAACAAATGTAAAAAAAAAAACGGCGTTCCCCTTTAATAACAAAGTTGTTTGTGCAGGTGATTCTTGCATGAGGCCCAGCATGTGTTAATTCAAGAGTTATTGGGATTACCTTTCACATTCTTCGATTGTTTGGCAGCTGAGTTTGTTATACAGAATGTATGGACGATCGCTTCTAGCCATCAGGTTCATCAGGTTGATACCATTTTCACCAACTTTATTAAGTGCAAGGATGTGGAAGTGATCAGTGAGAAATTCATTCTTAATTATTTTAAAGAGAAGAGATGTACAAAAAGCTTCTGACTGAAGAACTAAAGGTGAAATAGTTTCCAGATCAATAAACAAAGCTGTAATCGTCTTTCAGACAAAAGAATGATTCATCACTTTAACCGATTCATTCAGAAATAAAAAATCACCAATTGATTCTCCAGAAGAATTTTATCTTGAATAGGATACAGATATTAAAGCTTTAAATACTGAACAATACCAAAATGTAAATGATAGAAAAAAGAATCAAACACTTTTTAACCTATTCAGTTATGTTGAATATTAGAAAAATCTTGATCAAATGATATTTCTCAAACAGAGAACAATAGTCGGCAGAAATTGACCCATTTAATATTAACCAAGGGGTTAGATAACATTTACACAGAAGCAGAGTGTTTCTATCAGCATGATCTTTTAGATGCAGGCTAATATATTCCAATATCAGTTTTTTGGGGGAAATCAGACCCGTTTCTGATCTCAGGATCAGATCGGCACATCCCCAGTCTGTTTTTTCTGTATAACCATCCGATTAACAAGTTGTTTCATCTTCCCTTTAACACCACCTTTCTGCAACATTGAGATAAATACACAAGGGTGGGTCTTTCCCTGAATGCATGAAGCGTGAAGGCAGAGCATTGCTTTCCGCTCAGTGAAGCTGAGATACAAATCAGGTTGGATATCATCTCCCATGTTGGCTAATTTGTTGGATTGAATGATGGCGATCCAGTTTTTATTAATATACAAAGCAATAACAATACAGTAAAATGAGTTTCAGGTAGCTGTTATATTTTATATAAAAGATCTGTTTGCAGTGCAATTTACATACAAGTGTTTATTTTTTGCTGCTAATTTAACTTTAAAAAAAAAAAATAATAGGAAGGAAAATCATATTTGTGTGGATATGCAACCTTCTTTAAATATTTAATTTCACGCTAATGACAGAACTCACACGACAACATTTAAGATTCCTTCATTTAACAGTAGTATCAGATCAGTATCTGCCTATAAGCTCAGCCCTGGAATCAGTATCAGATTGGATCGGAACAAAATGGATCTGTTATTTGGCGCATAACTCTGGAGTAGTAGGAAAAAAAAATTATGGTTTTAAATCTTTTACAACTTAAAACCTAAAGTGTATGGCATACATTTGTTGTAATATTTTTTGTCTCTTCTGTGCAATAGGCTGTTGTTTCTGTGCCGCTAAGGAGTCCGTCCTGCACCAGTCCAGTCCAGGTTCCAACCACCCTTTCTGTGTCGACTTTGACCGTAACCAAACCCCAGACTGGATCTCCAGGTAGCCCCGCTAACAACCCCACCTCTCCAGCTGTGCTGCAAGGCGTCACCTCCCCGAACATAAAACAGGTGAATTTTTTTCCAGCATGAGAGACCAAACTTTTCTAGTGATGTTTAATATATGGCAACTGGCACAGATTAAACATTTCATTGATTTATCAGCAGAAATTCACAATTAAGGGAGGTTTAAAGTATGTTCATATGAGATTTTTTTTTTTTTTACAGGTGTCCATTACTGGACAGCTGGGAATGAAGACTGCAGGTGGAGCAGGGATTCCAATAACTGCAACAAACTTGCGTATCCAGGGTAAAGATGTCCTTCGTCTTCCCCCATCCTCCATCACCACAGATGCTAAAGGTCAAACGGTGCTACGGATAACCCCAGACATGATGGCCACTCTCGCAAAATCTCCGGTTGCCACCGTAAAACTGACCTCTGACTTCCTGGGCGGGGCGGCCGCTGGCAGTAAGAGCATATCGGCTACTCTCCATGTAGCTCCATCTCACCCATCCCCGTCTACAGCCTCTGGTACGCCACCCAGCGCCGCAGAGGCACTGACTGCTAAATCAAGCCCCGTCACCTCTGCTTTGCTGAAGGCTGGAGGAGACACGGCCATAAGGTTGATGCCAACGTTGGCTGTCAGCGTGGCAGACCAAAAACCCAGAACCTTCTCCACCGTGGCGTCCCCAGACAAGAGCGGCGCAACCATCCGGATCATGCCAGGCCTGGGGGTCATCCCACAGAAGCAGGGTCAGACCATCACCATGACAACGGCAAGTGGTAGCAAACCGCTGACGGCGTCAACATGTGCCAACATTGTAACCATGGCAGCAAGCGTTGTGGCTGGAGCTAAAGGGATCACCGTGGCTCCTGGAGCCTCTGCTTCTCCTCTGTCACTGGGAGCAGCTACAGCTACTGTGAGACAAGTCCCTGCTTCAGTTGTTACAACACAAACGGTAGGAAAATGACTGTGTGATGAAATGCAAACCTTTTATCTAAAGAATGTTAGTTTAAAGGTTTCCCCTTGAGATACATAGCTTTGGGAAAGTATTCAGACCCTTTAGACATTTCTCACATTTACAGTCTCAAACTCTGAGTTTTTATTGGATGTTTATGATATTATTGTAAGGTTTAAGGGAAAGAACACATGATTTGTAATTATTTTTTATTGCAAAGAGAAATCCTGCTTCTTTTATCTTGTTAACTACAGTTAAAATATCCCAACATCTCACAAAACACTTGGATCCATAATTTAAAATGGTGAGAGAAACCGACCAAGACAAAACCTTCCTGTCAGGACAGGGAAGGATCAATGAAGCTAGCAGCCAAGCAACTCTGAATTAACTGCAAAGAGTGATTAACTCCTTAATATGAGTTAGCTATTTTTGGGGGGTATTTTGTTTCAAAAAGACACAAAAGTTAAATGTAGGGCCTTACTTATTCAATAACTACATGCCCCTCCTTACTCAGATCTTAATAGATAACATGAGTCACCATAACCAAATACGTAGAACAAATCAATGCATGGCTGTGCCAAAAGTTTGCTTCAGCCGTATCAAAACGAAGGTGATGTAACCATTTTTAACCAAAGGAAGATCATTCAAAAGTTAGAACACAGCCTCAGTTAAAGGTATAATGGAAGATGTTGTTTTTCCAGGTGAATCATTGAAATAAGTTGTCCTCCTAATTGTAATTCATTCTGGTAATATATTTACGTAAGGCAGTCCTACGTGCTCGTCCCCATTTTCACTTACCGTCGGTGAGTCTGACATAGAGGAAAAATTGCAAATCTTCTCTTGGAAAGTAAGCTTGTATGAGTGATGCAAACAGCAATTTTTAAACGGAGCGTGCACGAGGAGAAATGGGCTCCTACATGCCCTCACATGCGTTTAATAGACGTTCCCCTCAGGAGCGGGTACAGGGTTGTGTATGTGCCTTTTGCATTTGAAGTGGAGAGGGCGGGTCTTTTAAAAAATCTGAGGAAATCCTGGACTATACCTTTAAGCTAGAAACCACTAATCAGGCTCTAAATCTGGGTGTAGTGATGGACTCAGAGCTGAACTTTCAGAGGCTCATTAAAAAAAAAAGGGAACAAATCAGCGTTTAATTACTTAAAGAATATTTCCAGGATTAAAGTGCTGTTATAATGTGTTCATCTTTAGCAGAAATGATAACTCTTTGGAAGTCTGTCTAAAACGTGGATCCAACAGAATCCAGAATGTTGCTGCCTACGTTCTCACCAAAAAAAAGAAAGTAGAGCACATCAGTCCGGTTCTTCTGGCTCCTAGTATCTGAGAAAATAGACTTAAGAATACTTCTGTAAGTCTAAAATCACTAAAATCACTAAAAATACATCACAGACTAGCTATCATTGAATCAAGTGCCCAGACCTCTCAGGTCTATTGGATCAAGTCTACTCTGCAAACCCAGAATCAGAACCAAACATTCAGAAGCAGATTTTAGCTCTTATGCTTCACTGGTATGAAATTAACTCAGAAATCTGAGGCACAGAAACCCCAAGTTTCTTTAAATCCATATTATAAACATCTTTAGCAAGGACTTTACTATGTAAACTCAATGTAAACTTAGTTCTCAGTCCAACTTCGCTTTTTTGTCAATTATACCAGAGAATAAAATGTTATTTTTTGCCTTTTTTAATAATGTCCTAAAGGGAAAGCTACCTGCACGGATCACAGTTCCTTTATCTGTCCTCAACCAACCCCTAAAGAGCAAGAGTGTGGTGACGACTCCTCTAGTGAAAGGAAACCTCAACACAAAGTAAGTCTGTTATTGTTATTATTAGTATTAATTGTGTCTGAGTTTAAATAAAAAGCTCTTTGTAGCTTTGTATTTTATAATTAAGGTCACAGATGTTTAATTTTTGAATCCTCAATGACTGTTTTTGTTGTTTTTTTCTTTGAAAAGTATCAGCAGCCTGGGCAGGAACATCATCCTGACCACCATGCCTGCTGGCACAAAACTAATAGCGGGAAACAAGCCGGTCAGTTTTGTCACAGCGCAACAATTCCAGCAGCTCCAGCAACAAGGACAGGCAACACAGGTCAGAATGATCACAGTAAAATCATTCCAGATTTGTTCTTTTCTCAGGATAGTTCTCATCCCAGCCTACCAGTAGCAGTATCTTTTTATTTGTATTCCTGATTTATAAACAAATGTTTTTATTAGTTGATTTCTTTATGCTAAAAAATGTCATTTGGATTTGAAAGAACGACTCCACTATCTTATTTTAACTGCATACTGTCTAATAATCAAAGTTTAACAGCAAAAATACTAATTTAGTTGGTAGATAATCTTGTGTACCTGCTCAAATTTAGGGCAAATGCATTAGTTTTAAGAAATACTTACTTTTTAGATCAGTTTTGTAGAGTATTTGTTTGTATTAGGTTATGTTCAGTGACACTATATACACAGTTTAATGTGCTAGAAAAAGGCCTAAATGTTTATGGCAGGCAGTAGACATCTCTGCACATTAATCTCCAGTCACTTGGACACAGATGCTGGTCTAAGACTTTTGCCTTTTGGCTACTCTGTAGAGATGGCATCTTGTCTCGTCAATCATCATGCCTCTTCTTAGTCAGAACTCCAGAACTTCAATTATTACCAAAAATGAAATGCTCCAATTTGATAACTTTCCATTAAGATTCTTTATACACTGGCATTGCTTTGAAAGGGTCGGTGTAGGCAGCCATCTGCTAAGGCTGCATGGGGTTTAAAGAGACAGAAGCACACATTCAAAACAAACTTAGAAGCACTGGTCTATAATAAATGTTCTATGTTAGAAAACCCATTTGTAAACTAAAAAAAAAAAAAAGTCCCCATGTCCTCCAGCAGCCTAAGTCTATAGCAGCATAACTGAGTCAGTCTAACAACTTTGTTAAAAAGGAAAGTTTTGAGCCTAGCCATAAAAGCAGATGGGGAGCAGCACATAGACACATGAAATGTGTTCAAAAACTTTTTAATGCTTATTTGCCATCTAAAAGACTATAAAAAATCCATATAGTCAACCTCTTTGATTCTGTTCACAAACCAAAGGAAGCTTGAAAAAATCCACTTGTGATGTTAGCTTTGGTTCTGAAAGTATTTTTTACACTTAATCATGTTTTTCTTTCTGATTAAACGAAAGTCATCCAGGACACTTATAATCTCACTTTGTTGCATCTTCCCAGGTTCGGATCCAAACGGTTCCAGCGCAGCAGATTCAGCACCACATGGCAGCTACTTCCCCCAAATCCGTTTCAACTGTGGTCGTCACAACAGCGCCTTCACCTAAATGTGCGCCTGATCCTCCACCTGCTCCTCAGCAGTGATCTGATCATTGTCAGTCTTACATCAAGGGTTTCAGCCTTGTTCTCTGTTAGAGGCTGTTTATGTATTCAAAGTATTAATTTAACTAAAAATTATTTCTCCTTTATTTTTTCCACATTGTTACAGGATCATTTATAAGACAACTGTCGGAAAGTACTACTAAACCTTTCTGGATATTCCTCTTAATTGGTAGTTTTCCACTTTGTTTCTTGTCATGAGATCATAAAATCATAACTATTAGATTGAATTTGAGTTTTTTTATGCATGTGTTGTGCGCATGGCAATGAATAAAAAAAAAACATGTTTCAAGATACTACTTTTCTTTGTTTCTAAAAATATTCTTTGCAAAAAACAACAGATCACTAACAGTTTCTCTTTTATTTCAAAAAGCTAACATACATTTTCACAGAAACATTTTCACATTTTCTTATTAACATGGTAACAAATGAAAATTTGAATTTGAAACTCAACGTACATGAAATTTGGTTTAAAAAAAAAAAAAACATAAAGCAGAAACCAGCCTTTCATTCTTCATCCGACTCTTCAAGTAAAGCTTTCTGAGAGCTGGTTTTGGAGGATGTGTTTCGCATGCCAATCTCTATATCCCGTCCTTTTACAGAGCATCTTGTTGTGGTGCTGTTAGAACAAAGATAAGAGGCCGTTACACTCAAACTTCAATAAAGAAAGTTATAAAATGCGCTTTAAGCTCCTTAATGACCCATCACAAATATAAAATTTGAGAAAAATATATTAGATTCACAATTCTTCAGCTGATAAGTTAATATAATTCAATGATTAAATAAAAGCAAAACAGATGAGTCCAAAATCAGTTTTGTTCCTAAAACCAAATTTTTTAAATTAAGGATATATAAATTTTAGATTGTAAACTCAAATAGTGCACATGGGGGATAAAAACTAAGAGCTTTTACTTCTAGCATTGATTTTGTGTGTGTGTGTGTGTCAGGGTATTTCCACAGTGAGTAAGAATTCAGTTCAAGAATACTTTAGTAATGTAAAGAGAAATTACATTTATAAAGGGGATAAAAAAAATAAATCAAACTAGCAGAGCTGTTCAAACAGTTTCAGACAATTCCAGAACTGAACAAACTCTTGAATATGTTTTTTTTTTGGATTCTTAATATTTTATACCACTGCTTGATCCAAGGCAGCTCAGCTTTTTTTTTGTTTCATCTATTTGAGTCACAGAAGCTGCTGAACAACTGTTAACCAACTTGGTTTCATTTTTTAAAATTAATACATCAAGCCTGAGAGTCCTATTAAGTTTAATCTACTGGACCACAGACACTCTTTATCAGGTCAAGTAGGACTGATGTACAGAGATGGCAAAAGTACTCACTTTCCGTACTTGAGTAAAAGTACAGATACTTGTGTTAAAAAATACTCTGGTAAAAGTGGAAGTACTGATTAAACTTCTTTACTCAAGTAAAAGTAACAAAGTACAGGCTTGTAAATTTACTTAAAGTATAAAAGTAAAAGTAGAAACCACTTTTTTCATGCCGTTGCCTACATTTTAAATGGATGTCTGCCAATAGGACTAGATCTCCGTTGTGTTCATTTTCAATCATCTCGTCGTCCATGCTACTATGCTAACGCCACCGCCACCAAGCTGCAATGATTTGCCGCCAATGAATACCGCCGAATCTGTCGATTCATCTTGTAGTGGTGCGTCAAATGCAACGTAGATTCCCATCCAATTAGATTGAATTTGGTATTGATGACGTGAAAAATAATAACGGTAACTCCATTGAAATGATTCAAAGCTAAAGTAACGAGCCAATTTTTTCAAATGTAAGGAGTAGAAAGTACAGATATTTGTGTAAAAATGTAAGGAGTAGAAGTAAAAAGTCGCCTTAAAAATAAGTAGTAAAGTAAAAAATATCAGAAAAAATCTACTTGAGTACAGTAACGAAGTATTTGTACTTCGTTACTTCCCATCTCTGCTGATGTACCTTTACATCAACAGTCAAACACAGTGGCGGTATTCTAATGGCGTAGGATTACTGTACTGCTTCAGGACCTTGACGACCTATGGTAATTAATTGAATCATAAACTCTGTTCTCTATTAAAAAATCCCCAAGGAGAATATATTACCATCAGTTTGCGACCTTTAGCTCAAGCCGATTTGGAAGGACAAGGATCAAAAGCACAACTGCAACTAAGAATGGGCCAAAAGTCCTCCACATAATCAAATGACAATGTTATCGTAAAAGTCGTGACACTGTGCTGTTTGCTGTGATTGGATTGAAGCCATGTTGGTTTTAATAGCCCTTAATCCTTTAAAGCTTTGACCATGAAATCATTGACAAAATTTTTTTTTATTTTTTTTATTAGAGTTATAATTGAACTTTCTGACAAGTGAAATACAACATAAATGTTGTACAAGTTTAATTAGATCCTTCATTTGCATCAGTGTTGATGCATTTGGCATTTCTGTAATGTTTTCCTTTTCACTACACACGTCTAATTGTGTAGGTCGGGGTTTTTCCATCAACAAAAATATCACACTGATGATGCAGAGGTCTCAAAAACTGTAACAGATATGATACACTTGGCTTTAAGTGGTCAAGACATAAAGCCATCTTTTGCAAACTGCATGTTGAGTTTACCCCGGGGTTCTTGGTACGTTTGTTTGATCAGAAACTTTTCAGTTTGTCCAAAAACAGACCTGATCTGTGGAAAGCCTCCTCTTTTAGGGGAGTGAATATTTTTAATGTGTAATTTTAGTTTAATAGTAAACCTGGTAAACACTCCATACTCATTACTTCTGTTGTTTAAGTAGTTTCTTTCGGGGATTAACTTGTTTCCTTGTTGCATTCCAGCACTGTTTAATCTAGATGTTTACTTAACCTTGAAACACCAAACTTAAAATGAACCTGCTGTTTTAAAAGCTTTTCCTCTAACCTATGATTTAAAACGGAAATATTTTTACTGAAAAGGACACTGTTTGTACTTGGATTAGTTAGTGAGGAAAGTTACTTAGTTAAACACACATTCAGACAGCCATAGGAATATGCAACGTTTTGAAACTGCTTATAAGTGAGATACTTACAAGCAAACAATGGAGGCACTACAGGTGACCAAAAGCATAGACAGAGCTAAATGCCAGCAGAAACACATTGTGACAAACATCATGTTGTCATGTAGCTTTAAATCCCATGCGTCTCCATTTAAGGGGTAGAGAACAACTCCAATCTGAAGAGACAAAAAGAGATAATAGTTGAACCTGTATGTTGATAGTATAGGGATAAATGAAATCATAGTGAAGGTTATAAGAGTGAATTACTGGTATTCCTCTTATTACTTTTGCTCCAAACTGTAGTAAATATTTTATGCGTTAATCATCCACAAAGTAAGTTGACTGTTTGGGGTGAAAACTAGTTTAAAAAGAAGTATGGAAACCTTCTTTATATGTACACCTTTTAAATTCTGCTGTAAAGGTCCATCACTGTAGAGCGGCCTCAGAACGAACAAAATGTCAATTCTAAATTATGCATAATTGTGCAGAGAAAAGAAAAAGTTTAGTTTTTTTACTTTTTATGAACAAGTTTGCAAAGTATTCAGTTATGCTGAGGGAAATGTTAGAACCAACGTCTTTTGGAGTACATCTCTGGATTATTTAAACATCTACAGATTGAAATTATTGCCAAATTTTGTTTCACAAAATAGCTAAAGCTTAGTCCGGATGGTTTGCTTGTGCCTGGATTCTAATTTTTCTGGCATATTTTTAATTGGTTTTAGGTCTGGACTTTGACTGGGCCATTTTAATACATGAATAGAGTTTGATGGAACCAGCCAGTCAAGCCTTGGATCCATGTTAACGGTCAGCTGGTAACAGTTCCTCTTTCTAGATTCTCTATCTTTCAATCAACTAACCTGTTTCCCTGTCATTAAAGCCTCCCCACCACATGACACTACCGCCACCACTATGCTTTATAGTGGGCTCATTGTAGGTTATGTTCTATGCTGAGATAATGTGTAGAACATAGCTTTGTGAAATTTTATAGCCCAACTCTGTTAAATATATTCCTATATCCACCCCTCACCTCTGCCTTGCCTCTTGGTTGATGCCGATTAGCCGCTTATGTTCTCTAGCAAACCTCTCAGGCCTGGATTTATACTGAGAGAGAAACTGAAGACAAATACAGTACAGTTGGTGGTTTTAATATGCCTAATAGTGTCAAAAGGTTTGAAGGATCCTAATAATTTTAAATGGTGCCAACAAGATTTGAAGGTTGTTGTTTCCCCCCCCCCCTTTGTTTATACCATAGCCATACATTTGAATAACAGATGCAACTGTTGGGAAATTTAAGGATTTCTATGCAGGTCCTTTCAGGAAGAGCCTGAATAAAAATCTGATGTGTTAAATCACCTGGTAGAACCATGAACCCTGCAGGAAGAACATTTGTGCCCGGAACAGTTCCAGAAGGATGTTGTTCCTTATGAACACCTCCAGCATGTTACTGGCCGATCCGGCGAACACGGCAAACAGAAGTAAGGTGTGGACGTGAGCATCAAGGGGTTCCCGACCATGCACATGGTACAAGAAGAGGAATCCTGGGTGATCCAAGAGAGGAAATGTTCAAAATGAATCTTAAGATGTACGTCAGAGAGACAGCATTGGGAATGTATTTACCTTCAACAAAAAGAGCAATGGAGAGAGCCAGGCGGTCAACACCAAGCGGCACCCGTTTGATCGTCAGACTGGCAAGCAGCGCTGCTCCTGAGATCCCAAAGAACAGATACATGGTGCTGTGCTGCCAGTTCATCAGCTTGACCCATGAGGTGTTCTCCCGATCATAGAGGCGGGCATGTGGGCCGTCCACCACAAACTGCTCCACCATGATACCTGTCAGGCAGGTCAGGTAACAGGGCTATAGTGTCACACAGTGTTTTGGAAAAGTTTTTAAACTTTGGTTCTTGTATAAATAAATAAATCAGGATTTGATGTGACAGACTAACCCAACACTAAAGGAAAATCATACCTACGTTTTAGCCAGCAATCAAAAATTGGTCGAAAAGACGGCATGATTTACATTTTTAAAAAATTACATTTGGTTAAAAAAGAAAAAAGCCGTCATATTCAGATTGATGAAAAGATGTTAAAACTGGGTTTTAAACATCTTTTATGTGACTAAAATAAGAATGACCAAACAATGCCCAATTTTCAATATATAACAAAAATACATGTAGTGCCCTTTAGGCTTAAATACCTAAATAAAGGCAATCTTACAAATTTAGAACAATCAATTTCCTTCAGAAGTCACCTACTGAGAGAATAGACTCTATTTAAATTTTATTTAGTGATATTTTAAGAGTCTTATTGGGAAAGGAACCAAGGAGCCAATGCCACCTCTGAAGGGATCTGCAGCTGATGTTGAAGAATATCTTAACAGGACAGCTTTAGTTTGAGCTTCACAAGTATAGCCTTTATGTGACAGCAGCAAAAAACCACAAGCATTTGGGTCTAAAGTTTGTGAGGGGACACAGAAGCTCTGGTCTCATGTACATGGAACTAATATTATTACATATACCAAAAAACGAGTGATGCATTTCATCCTAAACATGTCATCCTAATGGTGAAACACAGTAGTGGCAGCATCATGATGTGGGTTTTTCTACAAGAAAGGGAAAGGGAAGCTGGCGAGAGTTGTGAACCCTCACTGTTCCTTTAATTCTGGTTGTCTTTATATAGATTAACTGCTGTCTCAAGATATACTCATCATTTAGGAAATGTCTTCAAAAATACACTTAACAGTTACATTACCTTTTCTTTGTAAATGTTCATTTAAAAAAACATTTATATAATGGTTATTGTGTTGTGTCAGATCCAGATCTTTTATTACTTTCTGAAAGCTTGTGCTGTTTGCCTAGACCAGGGCGATTGAGGAGATATTTTATCTCATCGGGGTATTGATCAAATGCAGGAAGGAATAACATTAATTATTCCTTGGCTTCCATTCAAGGCATATCCATGCTTTAGAGTGACCTAGTCAAAGTCCAGTTCAGAGAACTATGGAATATGTTATATAAGACTTTAAAACAGATATTTCTGAATGTTCTCCATCTAATATGATCGATCTGATGAAACTTTGATAAGCAAAGTGGGGGATTATGAGCTATAATTGCAACTAGAGAATTGACTATATGCATGCAAAGATTCTGTGATCTGTTTATAAAAATATTTGTTACATTTCTTTTACCTCAGATTCACAAATATGGGCTTTTTTGTGTTAATATGTCAAACTAATTCCAGATTAAATAAATTAAATGAAAATGAAATGAAATGCATGTTTAAGGGACTGTAGGTTAAGATAAGTTTAAAAGGGAAACTAACCAACAAATGAAGCAAAGATTTGAAATCCTCCTTCAACATAATCCATCTTCTTAAAGAAAGGAGGCATGATCTGCCTTCCTTTGGGCTGACTTGTCCTCCAGTAGTGTTGGAGAACATGCTTCACCGTTAACCAGAACCCAAACAGCAGGAAAAAGGAGCCCGGTATGGCGTGTCCTCCAAAGTTGGCCATTGTTTGGCCTAAAAACAAAGAAAAATAAGTTTTGCTTAGTCATGTCAGACACACACACAAACAATTGTTATCATTTAGGTAAATGGGTTTTATTTCTCCTGGCTTAAAATCATTCAGTTGGCAGGTTAAAGATCGCTTTTTGAGGTGTGTTTTACAGCACGTCAGCCACATAACGATCCCAAGTGATTACCAGTAAAGATAAACAACTCAAACCAGCAGCTGGCAACGGGAAACTAGCATTCCTAACATGCCTAATGACTTGCATATGTCATCAAACAGGTTTTTTGTTGTTTTTTTTATTTAAACTTTGACAAAAACAGGAATATTCCTGATCCTACACTGACAGGAAGTATTTATGTTACAAAGAAGGTAGTCCCTCATTTGTTTTGCAAAACTGACATTCAAATCCCAAGACTTCTGATTGTGTGAAAAGCAGGACAAACTTAGAATTAGAACAGAGTCGTCTTCCAGTTTACGTTTTTCATGGAAAAATGAAAGGCAGTTTGTATCAAAGAGACTCCATTGTCATTTGTTCTTTTTGCACTGTAAGTGTGATACTGGGCATGCAGCATGGGTGTGTATCTACCAACACCTGCTCAGTCAGACAAGTTTTTCTTGATCAGACCAGTTTTTCCCTATATGACTTCCACTTTACATCTACTCTAACACAGGAATCAAGAAACCGGAGTATAGACAAAAAGATCTACTTCCTCCATCAGGTGAGCAGCTCTGTCTCAATAATCTTAATGTGAAAATAAACACCAGCCTTCATAATATACACAATGTTATTTTTTTATATATATATACATACCTTACTCTTGTCGCTCTTTAATTTCCCTCCCCAAAAAAACAAACCTGTAGTTTTCTCTCCAGGTCTGCCTCAGAGCGACAGCCCTCTGCTCAGTGTAAACCGTGCACACCTGTTGTGTTGCTCCTCTAACCTGTACTGCCAGCACATAACCACACCCCTCATCAGCACTGCTTTCAAGTTGATGGTACATCCCTCTGGGACACATTCAGGCAGGAAGTGCCTGTTCACAGAGCAGCATGTTTATTCAGGTATTCATTTAACAACAAAAGTAAAGCGTGTCACATAAAAACCCACTTGAGTTGGGTTTAAAAAAAAATAAATCTTTGTTTTTAAAAATATATATTAACCTAAATCTAGTAAATAGCCATAAGGATAAAAATAAATCCTTTATATCTTCTGTATTTTTAATAAATCCCAGGCATTCATTTAGTTTTAAAAGATTTAAAGGATATTATACTCAGGTAGTGTAAAAAAACAGCCATATGATTTGGTTAATGTGTAAACTGTGTGCACAAGGCAGCAGTGTGGAGCTGTTCAACTGAACTTTGCACCCTTTATCAATAAAACTTTATTGCCACTATTATTAGGTTGAAAAGATGATCATTTCACACGGTCACCAAAAAGCTGCTTTAATTAAAGACAATGATGCACATATAAAAAAAAAAAAAAAAAAAAAAAAGATCCTGTGTTCAACGTTGTTAGAGTATGACACAGAATAACTTCTTCTCTCTGAAGGGATTCTCTGATGACGGGACAGGAGTCACCAGAGGGTCCTCTTTAGCGTGAGCTTCACAGTAGGACATCAGTTCTGCAGCTGCTTTGGATACCTGCAAAAAAAAAGGTGTTTTAAGATGAAGCTTTACTCTTTGACTTATTTGAATGCACTGATTTAAAACATATTTGCTTACATCACATTAGACTTTAAGATCGGACTAGAATCTATGGAATTACATTTAAATCTGTCTATCCCACAGGATTAATCTCATTGTATATTTCTGTATATAGACGTGATACTGCGGTTCTTCTAACGGGTCTTTAGATCATTTCTAACTGGTGACAAGTCACTCATTTTGTGATCAAACCCCTACTTTTTATCCAACTTATCAGACCTTCATAGTATTATTTTAAGTTACTGTAGGTATATAAATAGTTATTTACTTTGTGCTGTATTAATTAATCATACAAGGTTCTCATATTTATATACTGTTGGTTTTACTTTTTAAAAAGTCTAAGGATATGCTTTTTGGTAAATAAATAAAAAATGAAATATGCTTCTACATGTTTAGAAAAAAGTAAATTCATTTTTTCAGATATCAAACTATTCTTTCAAGAAACTCAGCTAAACTCACTTTAGTTTCCTTTAGTTTTTAATGTCTGGGTATTTTACTTAAGAGGAATACATATGCAGTCTACATTATCCAGAAATGCTTTGGTTACCTTTTAGTGGCGTACTAGAAGCTGTAACGCAGGTACCAACTTTTGCAAAAGGCTGTACGGTCATGTTTTCTTGCAGTGCTAACATGGTGCACATCTGCTTTAAAAGACTTTTTAATTAGCATGTGCCACTCCCATAGATATGCTGCCCTGGGTGGTGAGCCGCATCAATAAGCCACTGAATACATATATGTATGGGCGTGAGTGTGAACATACACAACGACACCTGCTGTGATAATAAAGGAATTGACTTTTTATTGTAGAGCAAACTTACCATCATCCTCTCTATGTTGACCTCCAGCTTCAGCTGCTCCACCGTTTTTCTTGCATCTGCGATCTTGGCCATGTTATTAGACATTTTGCCTCTGAAATCTTCCAGCCGGCAGCAAATTTAAATCTGCATTAAAAGCAAAAACAAAAGTGGGAAAAATAGAATCAGATAGAGCAAATAACTGGTGTTGAATACAATGTTGACTCTGTTTCAATTTGCTTGTTAATTCTGCTCCCTGGGTCTCAGGTGCAAGTTGTGCAGGGAGGGTCTCAAAGGAGGAGGGTAGGGGAGCGGAGGCAGAGCAGCCTTCCCCAGGGGCATCATCCCGCCACCAAGTGTAAATACATTTAATATTAACATGTTACTCTTTGAAAAAGATATGTGATATAGAGCTGATTCAACTTTTTGCAATGCTTTCACTTTTAATACAAAAGTTGATGTTAATTTTGAACAAATTGTGCATAGCATACATTAGTATGCATCTAACAACAAAAGCATGTATTGCTCAAACCAAAATAGAAAAATGCTTTATTTTATAGCTATATTTTAAATCCAGCAGAAATGTTAGCAATAGAATATAAGTTAAAATGCATGTAAAAAATATTGACAACTATTTTCCTCACAGAAACAAAAAACAAATGTTCTTACCTGCAAGAGAAACTAAGCAGCAGCTGGTTTCTTTTAATCAAATCACCTTTTGTCCTCAACAGCGTTCACCGCACACAATAACAGTAACAAACAAAGTGAGATTAATTGCAGAAGATGAGGAGGAAGGGTTCAGTAGGTTCCCTCCTTCAAACAGGATTGGCTCCATGCAGCACTGAAAGGCAACCTGTGGTGTGACCTTCATCTCCGAAGTCTCTATTAGTCCTGAGATAACAGGAAAGCTGAGAGACCAACAGTTAAAAAGGAAGAATAGCTTGAAAAAGGTGATAAAACAATGTAGTAACACCTGAAAGGAAGATCAAAAAGGATCATAATTTATATGACTTTAATTTTCCTGTTGGTAATACATCCCCAAGGAAGTTTATTAATCATTTGGAAATAGAATTACAGACTTTGATTCACCAGGGACAAAGAAATACCTAATAGGACCAATGAAAAGGGACAATAGGTGTTTTCCGTTTAAAATATTTCAGCAGAGAGAAGCATTTTCTATTAGAGTGATCTGTTATTGTAATTTGCTTATATTTTTTGTCTGAACTGCAATTATTTTCTGAGGTTACGTTAAGCAGATCTGCTGATTTATGTTGTTAATAATAATATAAATAAGAATGAAATGCAAGGTACAAACAAAGTCAAATTTTAAATCTAAATTTGCTGTATGTTAGAGGAATAATTAAGGATAATGCTACTAAATGTCAACAACATACTTTGGAAACCTCTGATATTTCAACCTTTCAAGCAAAGGGGAAATAAATCTTAATAAACAAAAAAAAGAAAGGTCTAGTTTGAGTTATTGTCAGATAACTAGAAAAAAAGCAGCATTTGTATTTTTCTGAAGTGTGTGTAAATAGTTGGTTTCAACAATATATGTTGCTCGCTGTAACCACATTCCTTCAAAGGCTGCCAGCCTTTCCTGGCTGTTATTTCAAGGAGCTGTAGGGGGCAAAGTGACTGTATTATGAAGTTAAATGTCAAGTGCCTCATTAACATTTGTTTCCGCTCAGTAATTGGCTTCCCTTCATGAACGATATAGAGCTCTTATGAGTAAAAAGAGCTAATGTTAAGAAGAAATCCTAAATTAGCTAGTTGTTTTGCATTATTCAGTTCTATAAGGTTTAAAATATTATCAGCATCACATCACAGGCCATATTTATTAGTGTTAGCCATCAAGGTCCACCAGCATCCCTCTGTCTCATACTGCTCATTTATGATTTATGATGCATTAAAATTAATGCAGAGGCATGCGACCATTGTGTCCCATATTTCACAACAAACTGTATGGAAAGGCTTTAAAAAGCAGTTAGAATACTTATTAATAGCATTTCCTCTGATATATAAGAGAATCAGACTCTGAAAAACATTAAAACTGAGCAGTGCAATAAAAATAAAGTCCAATAAACTAAATCTAAAAATAGAATTGCAAACAAATCAGTAGATAAAAGAGCATGGTCCATTTTGGGGAAATTGGCCATGCATTCTTTTTATTCATGTTGCTGGTCCAAAAGCAAAATACAGTAATATTATAAAACCATCTATGTTTTATTGACCTTTTTTTCCTCTAATAAATGCACAAAGACAAGGAAAACAAAGTTGTGAGTACTGATCTACTCTCTAGTGTTTCCCAAAGGGTCACTGAAAAACCCTCCCAGCTATCTCTGCTTTATGCGTGTCTAAGTCACAAGAATCACAAGAGGCACAGCAATATAGTTGATCAAGGGGATATCACTAAACACTGAGGCATACTAGTGACTTTCAAAATAATTAAAATTATATTTAGGTTGTAAAGGGTTAAAATGTTATATCCTTGAACAAAGGTTTGGCTCTGACAGTACAGTCTTTCAGAATCTGTGTTTTATTGCTAAATTATCCTGAAATCTACAGTTTTGTTAAATATTTCTCCCTGCAACTTCAAAAGCACTTTTGAAGGAGAGACAAGAAAAAAGCGTAAAATACTTAAGTGATGTCATCAGAGTCTTGTGGTCATGAAGGCTTTTTGGAATGGAGTTATGGTTATATTTTGATTAAATAGTGATTGACACTGAAATAGCCCAAAAAATAGGGAAACTGATCCTGATAATAATCATTTTTAAAGAAAGGTTTACCTTGTAATGATAAATCACAGGTTGTCATTTTTTTGTGGATATCAGAGATGAATAAAGTTTATATTACATCACTGTGTAAAATTAAGCTCTTGCACTCAAATGTTTTCATTTCGTCTGCACCTTGCATGCAAACTTAGAAAGACGCTGCTGAAAGAAGGGAATGAACTCAAATATTAATATAATTTATGTTACCACAATCAGAGGTTTGTATTAACTAGTTTCATTTACTCAGTTACATTTACTTAAGCAACTATTATGTTTACTTTTAGCAGCAGCTTTACAGGCATTGTAGTTTTTACTTTTACTTGAGTAAAAATATGGTAAAATATCACTACTTCTACTTGAGTAAAATTTCTGGCCACTTTATCCATTGTAAGAAACTTAACATAATGAAAACCAGCTTGTTTTTGACAAATATGTACCAAGAAAAGAAGCTCACTTTTTTGTGAAAAAAAAAAGAAACATTCTTTTTTGTGCTCAAGGTTTATTGGTTAATGTTATTTTACTGTGTCATTTGTAGGTTGAGTGAAAATACAGTAAACGGTATACTGTCATTTAATCTATTCTCACACACTGTCGCTATTTATTTGGTTAGTTTTATAACTCGAAAAATGTGTTTTGAAAGGTGTTCATTCCATCAATTTTTTATTGTGTAGCTAATTACTGTATCTTATATGTTTTTTTC